TGTAATGGAAAGTGACTTTATGAGTTACCTCATATTGAAGTCATTTTTCAATTTGACGTATCTAATACAGGGAGAAAAAAACAGCCCTTGCTGGGTTTCTTGCCGGTTCTTCTCAGTACAAGGTCTCCCGCCGTAGATTTACGAACCGATGGCGTAGCTTTTCGACATTCACAAGTGCTTGTAACAGCCTAGACTGAATAAACGATATTGAATTTTTTGAATTTTGTTGGAACGAATTTCCTTTTCGGGCGGTATGGCGGATGGGAGCTAGGCGATAAATTTGTAAGATTTTCCGTCACAACCTAGCGAGATAGCTAGATTGGCAGCCAGGTGGGTGACCTCTGACAGCGGTAGCTGTAGACTTGGTTTAAATTTTTGTTTAAAAGTTTGATGGAATCGGGGGATCGGGTCATCATAACCCACCACGCGGATTGGTGGGTAGTTTTTGGAGTTTACTCCTTAAGAATCGATTTGCACATATAAGGGGCCCCGTATGAGAAAAATGTGAGGAGTAAAATCTATCGATGAATGACATTAATGACCTCGTTACGTTTTTGTGCTCAACCTCATCTGCGCACCTTGCACTTTTAGCCATGGCAACGGATAAAAAACATTAAGTTGTCACAAATGTCAATAAAATAAATAAACTAAAAATAGATAAAATCGGAGCAAAATTAATGAAAACAAATAAATAACAGAATATAGAGAAATGCCGGTAAGTGTCCAGCACTCTGGAATAGTGATTTTCAGTACAGATGGAATTATAATACATATTTACAAAATGATGACTAGTGTGTGATATTTTTGAAAGTGTGTTTCCAGAAATACATAATAAAATATATGATGAATATCGCTGATGTAAGATGATAAAATGTGTGACATGGAACCTATGATAGTCGAAACCATGGGACGATTCCTGAGGTATCTCTACTTGTAACCGACTTCTTCGGACTTGATTTTGTTTTGTGTCTGTTCAAAGACAATCGTTTTTAGAGTGTAAACTCCGGTCGTGCGTCGGAGCTGACACACACAATTTTTTTTTAATGATATATGGAGATATTATTGAGATGGATAGGTCTTAGTCTTAGTCTTAGTAGTACGGCGGGCTGTTTCCGCAATTCGACACCTAGTGCCTATTTTGCGTGGGGATTGGCATCAGTCCTGCCATCCCAGCTCCTCCAGAAAGCTCAGCAGTCCCCGAATGTTGCTGCAGGCCTCTACTATTGTCTTCGGGCTTCCCATTAGAGAAGTTCTTTGTCTTGCAACGCCCCTGCACTCCAGTAGGACATGGGCGCTCGTCTCATCCGCCTCCAGGCAGGCTCTGCACAGAGGGCTGTCAGAAATACCTATATTACAAAGGTGTTTGTTGAAGTAGCCGTGACCCGTGAGTATACCCACGATTTGTTTCAGGGCTTGTCTAGGTAGTCTGATTAACTTACGTGTTAGCTGCAGGTTTACCTTTGGAACGGCTTCCCTGGCTTGCCTGCAGTCCGTGAGTTTTGACCAGTAATCGTCATGTTGTCGTTGAGAGCGCTCCCTTATCCAGGTTCGCAGCTGCCGATAGGGTATGGGTATAATTGGCTCCGGACCAATGGCCGTCCAGCTAGACCCCTCCCTGGCTAGGAGATGGATAGGAGAGAATACTCTTTTTGTAGAATAGGTAGATTGGGCCATGACTCACAACGCGAACCCATTGTGGATTGGTGGGTGGTATATAAATATTTTTAGCTTAGTTCCAACCGAGTGTTCCACGATACTCTCGCATTTTTTTTAATGTGTAAAAAAGTAGTAAAACCAATTTGTATGGGGAGTTGGTACAGATACCAAGTTCTCTGTGCCAGAGCAAAATATATACCATTATAAAGCTTATTATTATTGTTTACTGGCAGTCTTTAATTGAATTCGACAGCTAGTCGTATTAATGAGATATTTCCATTTGAATTTATTAAAAAAGAAAAAATATTTCATGTATAAAAAGGGGTTTTCTGGTGTAGTCTACATGAAAAACATAATTATTTTAACTAATTTGAAATCAAATGTCTATAAAGACATAGAGGTCAGAAATATTCAATAATAGCAAGCACGCTTCTATGTTGACACATATACCTACAATCAACATGGATGTTTTACCAAATGGAGAGTGAAGCAGATTATATTTACAATAATTCAACAGAAATTATTACAAAAATATGCATAAGGCCAATAAACGAAACATAATAAATCACTATACTCATTAATTTCTTCTTTTTTTATGTTTTCTCTCACAAGTATATCGTTTAAAAATGTGGCTAAAGCAATAACATTCTGGTGCTGCGCCCATCACAAAAATAATTTACCGGTCATCCGAATTGTGTTAGCATTTGGTAAGCATGTAACAACGTTGTCTGTGTGATGAACTTATGACAACCCATACACACGAAATACGACATTGTTGCCTCTCTCAATATCTGTAAATTAAAGAGGTATTCTTTCAAAAATACCACCTTTACTGTTTTAATGTTTATTTATTAATTAAGAATACAGTCACTTTATGGTATGTGTATGGTAATATTTAACAACAATTTTTTAGGATGAACATAGGTAGTCACACCGTAGTTAGTAACAGAGTCCATAAACAAGCAGAAATCAATGTCGTCCTTTATCGAAAATCTAGTCGTCTATAATGAAATCGTAGAAAAATAGCACAAATCTCAAAATCTAAGAAAGCTGCGATAAAACACAAGAAACAAAAAGTAATCGCATTCAAAGCTATATTCAAATCTAAATTAATATCAAAATGATTTTGTCTAAAATTAAGTCTTTTGCTGTTTTCGTTTTACACAGAGATTTCGCTAATGTCCCTTACTGTTCTATTCTATTCAATTTTTGTAAAGGCTGGCTGTTGTCTCATTGAACAATTATGCCAATCCCGTAGTGTTAAAGAAATGATAATTGCAATTGCCAATATCATAATGACAGACCACTGACAGACACTGTCATAAATATGATCTAATAGGTAATCGATGTTATATTTTATTAGTGATATAATATTTCGCCTGAGAATTGGATTTAAAAATTCTAATTTATGCGTGATTTTTTCTTACAATTTATTAACGTTAAAACATTAGTTATTTAGCAATTTAAACAGAACTTAAATAAAACATTCATCTCATAATTAGTTGATTCGATTGTTTCGAATGTAATAGCAGACTGCGTTCATTTATACGCAAAACGCTGCGTTCTACGTTAAAGATTTTATATTATTTTTCGAGTTTCAACACCAGCTGAAAAAAACTTTTTAACTTATACTATTTACTTTTTAATGCTTAAAACAATTAAAAAAATGTACAAAATCAATACTAAGACGGTTGTTCTCCTTTCGTCAATCCGTTCATTGGTTACATGCGAGACTGATTTATTGTGATTGGTGTCCCGCATGACCAATGAATAAAATGGCATTTGTTTGCGCTAAATTTAAATACAATTTTCAAAGATGATTCAACTCCCCACCTGGGAAAATCTCCCGGTTTTCCCATAGTTCATGGAAAGGAAAAAAAATATTTAATAAAAAAGGTAAAGAGTCCCATCTAGTCACCAACTTTATTAACAGACTATCGGAAACTTCTTATCTCCAGGCAACAGATACCGTCAATAACTACAGCCAGCGTGTGTCGACGAATACATAATGACGCTACACTTCCGGTGTATTTTCTACAAGAAATATGCCGGTGGCGGCGTTTTGTGGTTCTGGTCGGTGGCCCGTGTGCAGCGACACTTAGACGTTTCTGGCATTTTTTGAGGAGGAAGAACCAACCAACTTTCGACCTCCTGATCGCATTATCGACACGGACGACACCTCTCACTGTTTACAAGTATGCTTATTTTAATGTAGCATGATCTAATGCAACCAACGCTGTAACGGCGTTAAATAATTTAACATATAATGTCAAAAGTTTTTAAACTAATATAGAAAATGACATGCATGAAATAATTTCAATCATATATTTATCGCTTATTGACATTTTGAATTAACTATGTTAAATTTATTAATGTGACATTGAAATAATTAATGTTTTGTAGAAATATTATATTGCATGCCGATAAGGCAGAATATGGCTGTACTGTATTAAAATGTATCTATGTAACAACTTTGCAACCTGTATTCGCAATAAAGATGATTTGATTTGATTTGATAATTTATGTTTCGTGGAAAATTAAAAAGAAAACAATATATCCCATACCTTATTCCCGAAATTTCAAACATTACATAATACAAGTTTTCATGTGGTATCTAATTCTGTTCAAGATGCCGTTTGGAAAAAAAATATGACAGATTTTATTTATCATCAGAAATATTGCTATATTTTTTTTCTTTCAAATGTTTAATACTTGTAAAAGTATTCATTTAACATTGTGGGTTACCTATAATGCGAAGAGATGGCGCTGCCTTGCAGCTTAAGAATGGCTAGAAGAATTTTGACGCGTTCCGTCAAGGCCGCGGTAGCATAATTGGTCAATGCATTCGCCCGGCTTGCGAAGGGTGCTAGTTCGAGTCTCGTCTGCTGCCTGGTCCGTGTGGATTTTTTTCTAGTTATATTTTCTTTAGAAATATTGTTTTTGAAAATTGCAGGCACAGCTTTGTTTTACTATTTACACAGGAAAGTTTGCAGTCGACACATTGAATGTAAATTTTTATTCACTCGCAGTATAGCCATTGAATATTTTCGCTGTGCAACAGAAACAAAAAAAAAAAAAAACTGCATCCGTATTGTTTGCGCAAAACAAAAGGTGCCTAGGCCTTTTGTGAAGGAATTTAAAGTTTACCGTGTAAAAATTCCTGTGCACGCGATCAAACTAAAGCAGTTAATAGTTTTCTAACAGCATTATGATAACTACAAGCTGTGGCAACAAGTTAAAATGGATTTTTTATGGCGGCGAAGTTTCGGGTCCGAAGTCAATTTATAGGTTATTTGGGACGTTCACTTCACGCGAATGGATTAAAGTTATATTACGAATGTTAAATGACTTGTAAGTTAGTCAAATTAAATTTCGCTCTGTATGTTACTTTTAGGTGGTTTGTGTAATATTTTAACTTTTTTTTGGAAGTCAATCTACATGAGTTGACTCCGTTTTGGCTAAGGTCTCGTGAATGGGAAATTAACATTTTTTTTATTTGGCTCATAAAACTGGTTACAAAGAATATTCATGTAAATATAGGCATACAAAAATAACATCAACTATTTTGCAACGTACTAGATGCAAGCAGAACATGCATTTCTATACTACCTAACTACTAAGGATTAATATATATTACATACATGTACTATATATTAATGCTTAGGATATATAAGGAGGATTAAGATATAGTACATGTACTGTACATAGGTCCGGGTTTTACAGGAGATCTCTTGTTTTCTGAAATTTCTCCTGTCCTACTGTTTTTTATAGAATACGATTTTCTTTTTTAAATTGTATGTTGTGTTCGGTTTTTCGGGTTACTCTCGAGTCGGCGACACTATGAAACCCGGCGTGTAAACCACTCGGCCACGGAGGTCATCGTCATACATAGAATACTGAACGGCTCGAGACGATGACGATCACTTTTCAAGTTGATATGTCTGTTACGACCATTAACATGCTTTTAAAAGCACAGAAGAGCTCAAGATAATAAGTTTTGGTCACCCATCTTATAAGCTTTCACTGCGAAAGTTGCTTAACTTAGACTATCGCGGACCGAACGCTGTTGTCTCAGCGCCATTAAGGTGTTTAAACTGAGTATCATAATTAAATTATTCAACAAAGACATCCTAGCTTAACCGAAAACCACTTATTTAAATTATCGACGAGATAGCTTGATCGATTTTCGAGATGATTTGCAAAGCTAATAATTAATAATGATCTTACAAATTTAATCCGTAAACAGTCACGAATATTTATAAGATGCAAATAATGAGAAACCGGCCTGTAATTAATACTTCATTAAAATTTTAATCAAAGTAACCAACTTTTTTATTACCTCACCAGAAGCCTTCTGATGTTATTTTGGCGAGAAAATTTGGAATGTCGTTAATGCTAAAATTTGCTTTCCAATACAAGCAAGGGGTGAGAAGAGTTGCCAGCAGAATACATTTACTTATAACAAAAACAAAATTTTATTAAATTAAAACAGACTTTAAATAAATTAAAACAAAAGAAAATATTACAAGAAACGAATCCGGTTGTTTCCGGATTAAAATGTTTTTTTTTAAATAAAAATTTCTTACATAACCTCAGCTTGACAAGAGATCACAATGAAATATCACTACCTTTTGTTGTTATTATCAACCGGTAAGTTTCCCGGGCTCCTCGGGGCAGCGATGGGCATACTCTTATCTTGGCAGCGCGTGAAGTTATCGAGTTGAAATTTTAACCTAGATCTACGGTATATTTAAAATTCTAAGTTATAGAGATAATTTGTAGCAAGGTACAAAATTCTTATCTTGGCAGCGCGTGAAGTTATCGAGTTGAAATTTTAACCATAGATCTACGGTATATTTAAAATTCTAAGTTATAGTAGATAATTTGTACCAAGGTACAAAATTGGGTAAGAAACGAAGCTCTGATTTATTGTTAATATAGATATTTTTTCAATACATGCTGTGTGAATGAGCTAGCAAAAATAATTATAATAATTAGTATTCCCCAAAGTGACTTCAATCGAAAATGTGGCATCGTTATCTTAGAAAATAAAGGTAAATTGTTTTTTTTTTCAGTTGTCACTTGATTGATGCGCGCTTTCAATAACGAACGATATTATCGCTCTTCAACGATCCGAGGTTATCGCTAAGAGCTTCGGAGCCTACCTAAACGTTTAGAAACAACGAAATTTCTTCTAGAATTTTGTGAGAGGCAAATAAAATTCTCAGATCAGTTGATTCTCAGAAAGAAATGTAACTGTAGACTTTTAACTTTACCAAATTTTAAAACGGGATGATGACTTTTTTTTCTTCTTCTTCTATTACGTAGATTACCGAAATGTATTAGGCTATACACGCATTTCTTAATTTCTGACATAAACAAAGCATTACAAAGATAATTACATTGACTTGAAATTTCGCATGACGTCACGTCATGGTACAATTTTTAATTAGAAGTGGCATCACGAACTCACGTGCTCCCACTCCCAAATTTTGACGCACTTTGTCTTAGTTATATTTTCGTTGATTAACAAAATAAACAAAAAATGTTTCTAATTTTTTGACAATGTTACTGACGGACCAAATGGAATTTCATCTACCCCGCTATCATATCCATTTTCCGATTCTTTCTTAAAAAATAACGAAGGTGCATACAAACTCGCATCACTAAACTCTTAACAACTCTTGCAAAATGCATCCGTTCGGCAGTATTGAGCCCCGCCGCCGCTGCCCGCCTCTCTGCCTCGCCGGCACACAATACATACAAGAGCAGTACTCCGACTTCATACTAGCACAATACATACAAGAGCAGTACTTGACTTCATACTAGCGCCCGAATCGACGCACGCACACAGACAAACGTAATTTACACGGCCGCTAACCAATCTTGGCAAGACAAATCTACGCGTCGCGCCGCCGAGTCTGGTCGATGGCCGAGGTAGGTTAGCTGCGCCGCGCCGCCCGCGCCGTCTGCCTCCGTTTCGATTCCGTAACGTGGCAATAGTAACTTTACACATACAATAAAAATCGACACTAATCTATTTTACATTTTGTAGGGACCAACCAACCTAGCGCTCCGCTCAGTCGTAGTCTTAGATTAAAACAAAAAGGGTAGATACGGTACGCTCATACTTGCATCAAACAAAAACTGATCCCACGGCAGCGAGAACGGGACGGCGAGATCCGCGTCACTGCATTACCGACCCGAACGAAACAGCACGTTAAGTTTCAACGGCAGCGCGAACGAGACGGCGAGATACGCGTCACTGCACTACCGACCAATCACGCGACCAGTACTCGACGTCACTACCGAATAAGATTCAAAACAAACAGCAATTTTTAGGAAAAAATATATTTTATAGTACTTACGAATGAAAAGTGATGCCGTGGGTTTTATTTTTAGTTCTTGAGTAATTTGAGCACTTTTGAAAAACACACTTAGGCATTGTTTTATCATTCATATAAACACAAAATACTCGTATTAGCAATATTTCTTTTTGGCGTTCACATGTACGTCGTTTGCATGTCAAGTTGTGACTAAAGCGATTAGGGTCGTGGACCACAATTGGTGTGGATCACTTTTGTAAGGCTAGTGCCGTATCTACCCTTTTTGTTTTAATCTAAGGTCGTAATATGGTATCTATTTCAAGAAAACGGCTGAATTACTCTATTGCTCTTGTATATATTGTGCCGGAGTCGTCACGCGCATGCACGTCCACACCGCAGCATACTTACGCAGTTGCAGCCGCCAGCCGGCATGCCGATGTGTATCTAAAAGAGTAAAATAGTAAACTCTGCGTAAAACGTGCTACTCCGGCAGTGACACCAAATCAGACTTGCGACGAAGAGGGCTTCATCAAGGTGGAAAGGAAGAAGAGGAAGCCCGCTTGCCGCAACTTGTGTGGTGTTGCCCCGACCGGACCGAACCACCTGCTGCATCCTGCAATACTGACGACGCCGCTGTACGTGTCCCGAATGCATTACTCTACGAAAGAAGAGGAGATCGCAGAGTACCTGCGAGTGAAGACGAAGTTCTCCCTGAGGGTCGCATGGTTGGAGTCCCGTCATAATGTGAATTTTAATTCATTTGTGGTGAAGGTGCCGACCGAACATCTAGCGACTTTTATGAAAGAAGAACTTTGGCCGGAAGGTGTTGTGTTCCGGCGATTCCGAGGCCGGTTACCTGATACCACTACGCGTCACACGTCGCCGGCTATACGTGGTAGGTAATTAGGTGTTTACTAACATAGTTACTAATTTTATTTACTAACAATAATGTTTTATATCTGTACTAGCTGACCCAGCGAACTTCGTACCGCCCTAAAAAAATAGGGGTTGTCCAGCGGACAAAATTGTGAATCTAAACCATTCTCAGATCCCCTTGAACACACACAAAAAATTTCATCAAAATCGGTCCAGTCGTTTAAGAGAAGTTCAGTGACATACACACTCACAGAAGAATTATATATATAAAGATATATGTTAAACTATCCTTATAGTAGGATCAGGCTACATAGGCCCATAGATACCTTTATCTATGGGCCTATGTAGCCTGATCCTAAATAAAATAAATAAAAAAACTCGTTATTTCTTAGGTGGTAAATTCAGAAAAATATTTTCTTAGCAGATGCCTACGTAATAATATATTCGTGCTTTTCAGCGTAAGCCGTACAGTTTGGGGTTTGGGCTCTGTGTTGAAAGATTAGTCAGTCAGTAACGGTTGGTTTTAATCTAAACAGTGACCCTTATTCTGACATGATTTCCCTAAACTTAAAACAAAATTTTAAAAATGGTCTCTCATTTTTATTCTGCACTAGTGGCCCGCCCTCGCTTCGCTTCGGTATTTTATCCCCTTGGGGGTAGAATTGATCAAAATCCTTTCTTAGCAGATGCCTACGTCATAACATCTACCTGCATGCCAAATTTCAACCCGATCCGTCTAGTGGTTTGGGCTGTGCGTTGATAGATCACTATGTCTGTGTGTATTTAATTAGATAGAGCAAGATAAAAATACACTGTACCCTGAACACGAACAAATATCGAATTCGAATTTAGCCAGTGCAAAATGTCATTGTCAAATATGTACTGATTTTTAGTTCTCGTTGCGTCAGTTACAGCGCTGCTGTTCAAATTTTCATACAAAATTTGACAATGACAACGCAAACTATTTGAATTCGATATTGGTTCGTGCTAAGGGTACTGTTGTGAAATAATTTTAGGTTAAGAGAATCATTTCAGAATCAGGCCCAGAATGTATTTAAAATTTTAAAGTCTCATCGATGTATCAAGCGGCACCCCTATCATTTACAGTAAAGGTATTGTTGTAATGAAAATCGTAATGTTGAGCCGTGTTCTGTCAGATGGAACTTCAGATTTTTACGAGCGAACGTAAACTGCCGACATCTGTAACTGCAGTACAGGGTACAAACAGATTATTCAAATTCCTCGCATTTATTGGGACGTCAAGTTCTGATAACTTTTTTTATTACTTTGGAGCCGCTCGGGTCTTCGGTATTGTTCGATGTTACTAATGAAACTGCGTTATGCAAACAAAGGCCCAAGCATGAATTTATGACAGCTCCGTAACGTATCGCATCGTCAAAGTTTCTATGAAAACAGAGCAGCGCCTCTATCGGACGTAAGAACAAACTAGTTTTTCCTTAAAAAATATGGACGACCTCCGTGGCCGAGTAGTTTGCACACCGGGTTTCAAGGTGTTGCATCCATTCGAGAGGTCCCGGGTTCGAATCTCGAAGGCAGATGTTTGTGCAGATCAGAATATGAGCGTTTCTACTCCAATCATGGATGTTTTTAATATTTATTTCTATATAAATATTATTACTTATATATGTACTGTATATGTATTCTATCCTTTACCCTAGTATCCCATAACACAAGCCTCACAGTGCTTACTTTGGGGCTATGCTAATTGGTGTGAGTGTTGGAAACATGTATTTATTATTATTAAAATGAAGCACGATTCCTTTCGGAACTTTCTACGTATTCGTATTTGGGCCTCAGACAGACAGGTTACGCTCTTTACAATACATATACTGCCTTATTTCAAAAAAAGGACTAAAGTTAAGTTTGGTTTTAAACCTCATGTTGTGTTTTTCTTCTTTTAAGTAAACAAAAGTGACAGCATCAGTTTTAGTCCAGGTTTAACTTTAGTCTACGTTTTGTGAAAAAGCGGTTCCTGTCAAAAATCGGACACCAATTCATCTGACTTTGTGCATCGCAATTGAAACATAATATTTTTAATCCATACTAATACTGTATTTGCAAAAGTCAATTTGTTTGTCTAATAGGGATGATGACTATTTTTTTTTTCTTCGTTTATCAGGTACATTATCAAAAAATATTGGAAACGTATTTTTTCCTTTTTCACATAATATAAACATTGCAGAGATATATTGATTTGAAAAGTCGCATGACGTCACGTTTGAGTACACTTATAAGGGAAAATTCACTCGAAAGTGACGTCACGAGCCCCTACTCCCAAACTTTGACGCGCTATAACTTTGTCATTTTTTGGTTGATTGCCCAAAGAAAAAATTCGTGTCCATTATTTTTAGATTATCTAACTGACGGACTAAATAGAATTTCGTTTACTGTACCCCGTCATCACCCCTATTATGCTTTCGCGCCTCAGTCGCTAAACTAATTTTCATGAATTGATTAAAATTCAAGAAACTATCAATATCCCAAATTCTTTTTCATATCCTCCGTCGATATCGACTTTTTATCGCAAAAGCCAACCTAAAAAGAGTTGCATTCGAATAGTCAATTAATGTGTTTAACTCAAAATTTTTAAACTTAATTAAATTAATGATTTTACAACCGCAAAAAAATCGAATACCAGAAAAATTCAATAGTTGATTAGGATAATACCTATAGAACCGGAACAAAAAGCTCCACAAAACTTCCCCTACAAAAACAGCGAATGACACGTTATCACGTAAAATTATCCGCCGTTAACCTACTTTACAGACAACCATTTTTAAGTAGAATTTCATTTTGTTATATCTCTATTGATGGTTTATAGAAAAGCGTTAGTGGAGGAAAAATAATTTCGGAGTTCCATTGCTCAATAGTTACACGGTTATATGTTTTTTCCGTCATACCGTTAATGGGACTATGGAAAAGTAGCAGTCCCCGTGGTCCACCCTGGTGAATCAAGGGCCAAAACAAGTCCCCATTGTCCGGTGAACTTGTTAGTTTGACCACGGGTAAGAGAGGTTTACGTTGCTATACGTGAACTTAATATTTAGAGAGGATCTTTATAATCTCAACCATATTAAAAAGACAAGTGAACCTGCTATATAAATAATTCTAGTCCCAGTAATAGTGGCTGTTCATAACCGAGGCACGCACAAAACATTTTGTCATATTTGTCCTATAGTGAATTTCAGATAGAGTGAAATTATGCGGCATCACTATGTACACGATGAGAATAAACATTATGTTCATGATCGAGGTATACCTCGTCAGTATACTGACGCTGGAAAATACTGAGAATATTTACAAACCAGGTATATTTCAAAGGTACCAGAGAACAAATAAGTTAAATAACAAAGATAAATATGAAATAATATATTTAATAGCTAGAGGTTAGATCAATAAAATGGGTTGTGTCCGAGTCAGTGTGACCACGTATACCTTGTAGATGTTGATAAATGATAGTTGTTTGTAATACGCAGGTAAAAAAGTCACAGATATGTATATTTATTGCAGCCGAACGTAAATACAGATAAAATAGTTAGTAGGCGATTCTTTGCTTGACTGTTTCGAATGCGCGCTCTTAACGCACTCGTGTAATTAGTATAAAATATAAATAAAATTAACTATTATGATGCGCGACCCAAAGAAGGTCACTATGTCAGCTCAGTATGTGCGGTGATGATACCTTACAGGGTGAATAATTAAATACATTAATAATAAATTCACATTATAAAATCTCAACCACAGAGACTTGATTCTTTTACCCGCGGCAACACTTGAATGACGTTTAGGGTTCATGTTATTTAATGTTGAAATTTGGAAATTTTTCGATACTTATTGATGGTATGAGAACTCGTGTTATGTATCATTGCATTATTTCACCACGTAAACTGGCATTCAGACGGGACTCGAACCTGCACCCTTCGCAATCCGGGCGAATGCACTGACCAATTATGCTACCGCAGCCCTGAAGGCCGCGTCGAAATTCCTCTAGCCATTCTTAAGCTGCAAGGCAGCGCCATTTCTTCGCATTGTAGATAACCCACAATGTAAAATGAATACTTTTACAAGTATTAAACATTTGAAAGAAGAAAAGCGATTATAGTTATACCTAATTTATTTTTTTATTTTTCTAGTTATATTTTCTTTAGATTTAAACGACATCTAATTCGTAAAGTAAAGGCACTATGTAACTTTTAATTAGGAGGATATTTAAAAAATATTATTACATGAGTATGATTTTATTTTTATGTCGCTACTTCTTATTTGCAATGAGTAATGATTTTTTGTGAAAAAAAAAGACTGGTCTTCGTTTCTGTAAAAGTACTAAAGAAGCGTTTTTTAAAGCGATTTTGCTTTTCTATTGTCGATATAGATAGACGCGTCCCCGAGAAAAAGGCTGGTTATACGGACTGACGGACGAACAACGAAGTGATCTCTTGAATGTATCGTTTTATTTGTTTTTTAAATACAGAACCCTCAAAATTACATTTTTAATAAAATTTCACCAAAGGACAACTATTAAAAAAAAAGTACCAGTTTAAGTATCAAATTTCATTTGGTACCATGTTATTTTTTCCCCTTGCGAATTCATTATCAAATATTTTCAAGTCAAGTTACAATTCGGTATAAAATATTTAGTTGAGTGAAGAAAATAGCATAAATTTAATAAGGACAATGCAAAAGTTCCCCTTCTTAGGATTAATTTAAATGGACGACACGCTGAAATATCACTAAATTGTTTTTTTTTTTATATTAAAACGGTCTGGTCTCTTCACAGCTTTCCCCGAGAAATGTTGAGTTGAGGCACTTCATTAAAAGTGACATTTATCTTTTCGTTAAAGAAACACCAGTAGCGATAGAGGGGGTGCTAGCCAAGAAATTACCCACTTCTAGAGTAAAAACACGAGCTTCAAGTATTTCGTTTCATTTACTGTTACATGTTCTAGTTTTTAATTTAATTGAATGAACTACTTTTAAAGAG